ATAAAATGATGTATGGATTTATTTGGAAAGTTTTATGCACAGGGTTTGCTTCTGTGGAATTTGAAGTGGCATGTGAACGTGCACTCCTGAATTTCTGTTGATTTATATTTCTTAAGCAGGATCTATAGCAAAAAGATACATTCAGTTTACTATGGTTTACCCACCATAGGAATTTGAGTTCAGATTCTATTGTTATACAATTGGAAGGCCATTGGTATTAGTGAAATAGCTTCAAGTTATGCCCAAGGTTCAACATTATTAGTGGAGCATAAGCATAAGGCTATAAAAGATATTGTAAAATTGATGAAAGGGCATAAAAAGATTGAGCCAGTAGGGACATACTAAAAAAAATTGCTTACCTTGCTCCTTCAGTAAAATTACTGCTTTTCAACATACTTAGTTGGTTGCTAAGATACACTTTCAAAATATGGGTCAAACATTGGAAAAGCACGGTGTATTTTAGAATCTTGTGTTCTAAAAGCATTTGTGCAGGCTGTAATGTACCACATTAGTGACATCTGACATTTTCTCATCTGTTCTTTCCCTCCCAATCTTTTAATGGTGATTTCAGAGATGGAAAGTAGACTGAACGGAATGCAAATTAGGAATTCAAACACAATTAGTCATTTTAATGGCATCCATCTTGTTCCTTGATAATAAATTGAAATTTGAGTTAAATTTCAGGCCTGTACATTTTGCTCTGTTTAAATTATTTTTATGCTGTTTTTCAGAATTGTAGATCCTCCCTCAGCAACTTATAATGAAAGAATAAAAAATTAATTAATTACATAATTAAAATCAATGCATATTAAATGCTTATTAAATATAAAAATTGATATTACCTTGTGAATTTTATTTATATTTAAGTCTCTAAAACTTTTACATCACTGTTCTCTGTTTCCTGTGGCTGTTTACAAAAGGCATGGTGGAATGTGCCAGTGAATTCAAGCACAAATTGTTTCTTGTCTGTCTTTGAAGCAAGTTGGACTGCAGAACTGCAGAGATTGTGCTAGCACAACAGCAGATTGTTTCTATGTTGCATTAGCTGCCTTGTCCCCAATTATGCCATTCATTCCCTTAGGATCTCTACATCTGCCAATTGTTTTACTGTTAAGGGCCTGGAGGTGGCAGGAATGTTTTGACATTATGCCCTGCAGGCATTCATGCAGGAGTCTGGCATCAAGCCAAACCAGAGTGGGTCAAGCTGTTTAATGCCATAATTCAGCTTTTTATTGCTTTTATCACCAGGTTGTGTGAAAACGTGTGCTGTTATTCACTTGGAGTGACAGCAGAATTACAGTATAGGCAGCATGTTCCCACTGTCTTTAATGGAACTTACTCCAAGGATTTCAGCCTTAAATCTGTAGTGATATTAGAGCAAAGAAACAGGCTGTTTTCTCTAATGTTATACAGATTTTGTGTACACAGCTGCTGGTTCTTGACCCTTAATCTGTAGCTGCCAGCTACTGCAGAGTGCCTTCTCTCCTCCATTTTCCTGCCAACCAGCCCCCCCCCCTTGTCTGGGCTCCTGCCAGGAGTATATTTAAACTCCTTCTGAGTGACCAGCATGGACTGTGTATTTGGCAGTTGTATTTGCAATTCCTCACAAACACTTATGCTTTTTCCGTACTCTGGGCACCCCCTTTTAGTTGAGTCAAAGCAATACTACATGAAATTCTCAAGTGTGACAACTCACTTAACTTTTTGTAGTAGCTTAATTAAACTCCATGGAGAACTTGAGTTTTCGGAAAGCTGTGGAAGAAAATGGACACTTAAATTGTAGCAACTACATGCACCTGTAGACAGACTTCTTCTTTTATGAGTAGAACAGAAACAAACACAGGAAGCTCTGTCTGTCTTCCTATTGTTTGCCTCTTCTAATCTCAATGTTCACTGCAAGAAAGTTTGTTTGTCTTTTGGTACTGGTTTACTCAGGAAGCTCCTAGGTCCAATTCCTTAAAAAGACACATTTTGGCATAAATGTTGATGCCTAAAAGCCTTTTATAATCCAGAACAGTTCATGTAACTCTCATATGAAAATTGCTTAGGGAGCATAAAGGTTACTTTCCTGTTTCAGAATCTTCCTTTCCTGGAGAGACTTCCTTGGAGCACAACTAAAAGTAGTTGCCTTCAAAATTGCACCTTGAACTGTGAGAGATGGCTTTTTAAGTTGCTGTACAGTGGTACCTTGGGTTACAGATGCTTCAGGTTAAGGCTCCGCTAACCCAGAAATAGTACCTCGGGTTAAGAACCTTGCTTCAGGATAAGAACAGAAATCGTGTGGCGACAGCGGGGAGCCCCACTTGCTAAAGTGGTACCTTAGGTTAAGAACGGACCTCCAGAACAAATTAAGTGGTACCTCAGGTTAAGAACAGTTTCAGGTTACGAACGGACCTCCAGAATGAATTAAGTTCTTAACCCGACATACCACTGTATTTTCCATTCCCCTTGTCTCACTATGACGGGTGGGAGAACTAATAAACTCTTTCCTATGTCTTTGCAGTTTTTCACTGAAAATCACTTTGGTATAACAACATCAAGCAAGATGAATGACTTCAGTGGTGAGGAATTCAATTTTTCTTTCCTTGACGAAGGCTTTACTGCAAAGGATATCCTAGACCAAAAAATAAATGAAGTTTCTTCCTCGGTGAGTATGGTAGATAGATTGAATATTTTTAAAAATGTTTTATATTAAACGTAAGGTTGTTGCTATTGTAATATACACTAGTAGGCAACTGCATATTGACAGATGAATGTTTTCTTTGTTTCCAGGATGATAAAGATGCATTCTATGTTGCTGACCTTGGGGATGTTCTCAAAAAACATTTGCGGTGGTACAAGGCCCTCCCTAGGGTATCTCCTTTCTATGCCGTCAAATGTAATGATAGCATAGCTCTAGTGAAAACTCTGGCTGCTCTTGGGGCAGGATTTGATTGTGCCAGTAAAGTAAGTGACTGCTTTTAAATGTTTTGATTAAATACTGTGTATTAGAAATTAAAATATGTCTGCCTTTGATTTAAATTGTCTTATTTCCAGAGAAACCATTTCTAGTAACTAATGTGCAAACTAAAAAAATGGATTTTTTTCCAGACTGAAATACAGCTGGTCCAGAGTGCTGGTGTGCCTCCAGAGCGTATAATATATGCAAATCCATGCAAGCAAGTCTCTCAAATTAAGCATGCTGCAAACAATGGTGTGCAGATGATGACATTTGATAGTGAAGTTGAGCTGATGAAAGTTGCAAGAGCCCATCCAAAAGCAAAGTAAGAAACATTTACAATTTATTTTGGTACAATCTATATGTTCTCGCTAGGTAAATGTGAGGCCCCAGATAACAGGTGTTGACCATTTAGGCAGATCTGTGCAAAAAACAGGTGGCATTGCTGTTTTTGACAGAATAAAGGTAGCTCCCCACCCCCAACTATTAAGCTACTTTTTCACAGAGCAACTACAAATGTGTGTTCTGAAATACATGTGCATGTGCTTATATGTTCTAAAATGTTTTCTAGGCTGGTCTTGCGCATTGCAACAGATGATTCAAAGGCTGTTTGTCGCCTAAGTGTTAAGTTTGGAGCTACACTAAAAACCAGCAGGTTGCTGCTTGAACGAGCAAAAGAACTTGATATCGACATAATTGGAGTGAGGTGAGCAGCCGGGTTGTGTGGAAGAAATTGCACACTTGCTACTTACAAATTCTGCTTTTGTTAAGAAGGATGGGCAAACCTCCCACTAACTCAACCCATCTTTTCTAGTTTCCATGTTGGAAGTGGCTGTACAGATCCGGAGACGTTTGTGCAAGCTATTTCTGATGCCCGTTGTGTCTTTGATATGGGAGTAAGTACATTTTAAGATCATTTCCTATAGCACTTGTCAGGGGCTCAGGAGCAGAGGCACAGGAAAGGGAAGAAATAGAGAGCGAGGGGGAGGAATCCGAAGGAAATGTTAGCGATGACAGAGGTCCGAGGTCTCTGAGTCTTTCCAGCGAATCGGAGGATTCACAGAAAGGGGCTCCCATGGTCAGAGCAAGGGGGGTGCCGAGGGGGACACCCCAGGAAAAAGGGGCCAGAGGGGACTCAGAGAGCAGCAGTTGGAAATCAGGACCAGCTTCCCCACCAGAGCGCAGTAGGGGGGAGGAGTCCCAGGTATCGGGAGCAGGCGGCTCACCGCCAGCGGGGGGACATGAGTCAGGATTGGCCACGCCTCCATCGGGGAGCGAGGAAACGGTCAAGAGGAAGGTCGAAAGCTGGGCGCGCGCGCCAAGTTCAAATGTACAGGAGGGCGGCGCAGTGGGCAGCCCGGATAGGGAGCCAGGTCCCAAAGCCCGCCGAAAAGAGGGGGAGGAGTCAGGGGGGTCAGCGTCAGAAGAGTCCAGAAAGGAGGAGACCCCGGGGGGCAGAAGGACCCAGAGGAGAAAGGAGAGACGGAAGAGGTGGAGTAAGATTAGAGCCTTAAGTTGGTGTACAGGGGGTGGAGACTCAGATGGAGCTTCGCCGGTCTAGCCTCTAAGACGTAGAGCTGGGGCGCTCCGGTTTGGAAATGGAAACTGTACTTCAATAAAGACTTTTGTATATTACTACCGGCTAGCGTTGGTCCTCTGTGAGCTGGGACCCGGAGCCAGCTCTGACAGCACTAATGAGTCATAGTACTGTGAGATTGCCAGAATGTGCCTGAAATACAAAATGTTTAAAGTAAACTTGGGAAACCTACATTTTTGTGCTGTTGGTCTAAGATGCTAATTCAGATTAGTTAAAATTCTTGTTTGCTTCATTAGTTCAGATGGTGAAACTGATCAATACTATCAATAAAAGCATGATTTGAATCACATTTCAATATTTCTGCCTTTTAGGTTGAGCTTGGTTTCAACATGTACCTGCTTGATATTGGTGGTGGTTTTCCTGGCTCCGAAGATGTGAAACTTAAGTTTGAAGAGGTACATAACCTTAAGTGCTTTGCTTGTGAAGAGCATTCTTCAAACTTTGCTCCCCAGATCATATTAAACAACTCCCAGCATCTGCTTCCAATTGACATGGAGGGGATTTCACTATTATAGGCAAAAGATGTTTGTATAAGTTTCTTGAAGTACCAACAAGCACATGAGTCTATGGCGGCTGCAGGTTTCCTTCTCCCACTGAAGCGAGACTTGAAAGAGGCCTTTTGTTGTAGCCAATAGAACAGCTTGTAGCATGTGTGGTGCCCATTACAGCTTCTCCAGTTTGCAAATGTGCCTGTGAGTCAAAAAAGGTTTGTCAGCCTAAATTTAAGAGTATTGCTTAGAGTGAAGCCACCAGTTTAATTATTTCTAATATATATATTTACTTCATTACTTATACTGCTTAATAGATGTAGCTTATAGGCAGTTTACAAGTATAAAACAACTTGTACTAAGTAATAGCTTTATCTACATGAATAACTTTTACCTTGCCGCTGTGGAAGAGAAATCTGCATCGTGATTTTCAAGTTGAAATACTTAGCTATACAGCAACATCAATTTCTGGGCTACACCGTGATACATTTTACAGCATAGTAGAAATTTACTTGCTATGTTGTATAGCCTCCATACTGCTAAAGTGGCAATACAGCCTGTGTTAAGCTTGAAAAAAATGCTTACAGGAACTCTTCCATATATGGCTGTTTCAGTTCTGCTGCAAAACATTGAACCTTCAGTCTTAAATTAGACAGCTAGTATAAGTGAATACACTCTAGAATGAGTTAACAGTAGCTGAAGTGGGCAGGGTGAATGGAGGGATGGGATGCTACATCTCTCAACTCCATTGTTCACACTGAAGCGAGGGGGAGGCAAATTGCTATGCTAGCCTGGAGCTGATGCAGACAGTGGGGCTGACTGCCTGTCCCTGCCACCAAAACACCTGATATTGGGGCACAGTACAAACTACTGTGAAAATAATGTGATGCTGGTGTCGCTCTGGGTAGAGGGCACATCTCTGTCCCCTTCTCACCCCCCAACAGTGCAAAGGGAGTTTGGATTGCAGCCAAAGTCAGTCCTTCACATTCTAGTTCATTTGAGCAATCCAGATGTGCATAGCTGAAAGTTCACAAAAACTTTCTGTTGGCTTTAAATCGAGTTGAGATTGCTTGGGAAATCATGAACTGATTTTCCAAGTCATAACTTTTTTTAGAGCACTGTTGTGAATGATTTATCAAATTCAAAGCAACCTCCTTTCCCTAGTGTGGAAGTTCTGTTTCTGTTCTAAATCATATCCAAGTTTTTAGTAGATTATTCAGCAAAGAGCCAATAGTTTGTTGCTGGATTCCGACCCATCAGTCTCTTGCATTGAGAATGTAGTGCAAGCTAATTGTTTATTGGATATCCATGTTGCTTAACAACTCTATTAAACCCATTTCTCTCTCTCTCTCTCTCTCTCTCTCTCCCTCTCTCTAAAAAGATAACTAACGTAATCAATCCTGCCTTGGACAAGTATTTTCCTTCTGATTCTGGAGTGAGAATTATTGCAGAGCCTGGCAGATACTATGTTGCATCAGCTTTTACACTTGCTGTTAATATCATTGCAAAGAAAGTAGTAATAAAAGAACACACTGGATCAGATGGTATGTAATACTTAAATCACATCCTGGACCTTACATGTTAACTGGCCAAATACTCATAATTTATTTTTTAAAAAATAATTTTATTGATTTTTACAATTTTATCATAATCATTATTTCAAAAACAAAATACATTATAAATCCTCTGCTTCCCCCTCTACCCCCTGTGACTTCCCTCAACTTCCTTTTCTGGTTCTTTTGGCATATTATCTCATCCTGCTTATTGGTTAATTCTTATTATTCTTCACTTATCATTTTAACATCTTGTTTCTAGTTCTACACTTATTTTGTAAATTGCAAGTGTTTAATCAAACCCTGCAAGTGAGTCAATTGCTTTACATTGATTCTGTATATATAATATAAATGGTTCCCAGTCCTTCTTAAAATCTCTATTTTTTATCTTTATCTTTTATCTTTATCTTGAAGTCTTTCCGTTAGTTTTGCAAATACTCATAATTGATGGTGGGAACAGAGGAGAGGTCCTTAGAGGGGGCTGGGCCACCCAGTGTTGGAATGAAAATTAGTCAGTTTTTGTTTTCTTCATAAGAATTTCAAAAGCAGGGGCTAGGCGGGTAATTTTTCCTGATGACAGTAACCATGCACAGCACTATCCCAGGTTTCTGTTTCTTGGTAATGGCATAGCATGACAAAGTTGGGAACTGTCTTTTAAATATCTAGCCAATTGCTCTATTCTAATATTCTTTTCCCCCTCTCCCCCAAATAGATGAAGAAGAACCAAATGACAAAACTCTTATGTACTATGTAAATGATGGGGTTTATGGCTCTTTTAACTGCATCCTGTATGATCATGCACATGTCAAACCAGTTTTGCAAAAGGTACTATGTGTATATTTTATATTCTATTATATAGTGTATTTCTGTATAAAAGTATACTGTTAAACTTAAGCCCATTTGTGCTGTAGGTAACTGTTACTTGTCATTTATCTATGCCAGATACTTAAAACGGGAAAAACAAAAGAGCATCGGTTCTTGCAGGACTGGTATAATGTAGATCTAACTCAGCGACTCTGACTCCCCACATCCCCCAGGACCTTTTGAAAATTCTATGGGTCTTGGTGGATCTCATTTGTTGTTCTGCCTAATGTAACAGATGCAATTCCATAGAATTCAAAATGTGATGCAATAAGATACAATATAAGAAATAACAGCAATAAAATACAATTTAAACATCAGTATGACTATTCAATGTGATGGATGTGCCTCCTCCCATCTTCAGCTAAAAATCCACAGATGGCACAAACCACAGTTTGAGCAATCCTTTTCTAACTCATCTCAGCATTATGTAGTAATGGAGCACATTCTAAATACCATATTATTCGCGATTGTCTTATTGTTGACTGCTGTGGCAGTATGTATGCAATAACTACTTAAATTTTAAATTCTTTCCAGAGACCTAAGCCAGATGAGAGGTACTATTCCTGCAGCATATGGGGACCAACCTGTGATGGCCTAGATCGCATTGTTGAGCGCTGTAGCTTGCCAGAGTTGCAGGTTGGGGACTGGATGTTGTTTGAAAATATGGGTGCCTACACAGTGGCAGCTGCTTCTACTTTCAATGGATTCCAGAGGCCAACAATACACTATGTAATGTCAAGACCAGCATGGTTAGTAGTTCTGCTTTTAATGAAAGTACACTCTTAAGTTTGACTTAGTGTGAGTAAACTCTTGTTTGAAAAAGGTTGTGTAGATTATTAGGATAGGATAGAATATAAATAGACTGCACTCCACCCTGAGTGCACAGAACACGTTCAGATTCTTTGGTTGACTTACTTAATAGCCTGCCTCACTAGCCAGTTGCCCGGTTTGCATGCAGTTTTAATCCATAGTTCATTTTAACAGTCATGGCTGGGGAAACCCAGCCAGATGGTTGAGGTATTAAATATATTATTTATTATTATTATTTATTATCTCCCCACCACCATCACTCCTGACAGCCTTGGGGAGGGAACAAGCCGGTTTGGTTTGTTACGAGTTGTGACTGTGTCTTTCAAACAGCATGAGGGGTAAGCTAAGAACAAACCTTGACTTCTGTTTGTAGAAGAAAATTAAACGCAAGCCAGGGTTCCTATCTTACAACAAACAAGATAGGTTTGTTTCCTCCCACACATAGCAGGGGAGGAACAAAACCCTCATGCATGTTAAACCATAGTTTAACGTTGTGAGAGAGCTGGACAGCCAATTTTGCTGTCATGTCTTCTCTAGTTCAGGGGGGCTGCTGTTTGGAAGGCTTGCTTTATCATTATGACTTCGTCACAGTTCTATGAAAGTGCAGAAGCTCATGTTGGGGGGTGCAGAATTCACCTGTTTGAGAATCTCAGCAGAATCTTAAAAAATAAATCCTCAAGGGTGTGAGTGCAGTGCTTGGCTAAAACTCAGAAGGCAGAGCATTTTCAAAATAAGGTTTGTGGTACATAGTTTTCACTTTCCCATAGCTAGGAAGTGCAGTGATTTGTACTGTTCACAATCCTTTTTGGCGCAGAATCTAGCAAGAGATTAGTAGAGGGGTACACACAGTCATGGTTATCTAGGCCATCTAGGTTACTTACACTATTTCTTTCTCTCCCCCTCATTAGGCAATTGATGCAGCGGATAAAGGAGCAAGGTTTTCAAGCTGAAGTGGAAGAGCAAGATGTCACTTTGCCACTCTCATGTGCCTGGGAAAGTGGGATTGAACACTATCCAGCAGCTTGTGCTTCAGCTAGCATTAATGTATAGATACAGTTTTGGCTAACATGCAAGTTTAGGAATGGATTTTTAGGGCTTTTGGGACCATTAACTTAATTCTTGCTAGAATTTTAAAATGTTTTTGAATGGCTAGGGTGGCGTAAATGTAACTTGAATAGACAACTAGGAGACGGGGAGGTCACATTTATCTGTGTTCCTATGGAAACTATTTGAATATTGTTTTATATGGATTTTTATTCACTTCTCAAGTATACTACTAAAACTGATCCTTTCTGCCTGTCAAGCATTGTAGCTTGCATATCTGGCAGAATGGTCTGGACGTAGTATTGTGACCTGACTGTTTTACAATAAAGTCTATTGAAATAACTGGGTAGCTGTTCCTTGTCTGTATATGAACAAAAATCTGGGCTGAATAGATTTTAAGATTTTGCGTTGTCACCAGCTCTGGGCTTGAACATTATTTTGATATTTCTACATAATTAGGCCTTCCCAGAAAGCAACTAAGGTGGTTCCCCTCAAGCTGGCTTTCACTGTGTGCTGCTTTTTTTTTTTGCATTTGATTTTTTTAACTACTTGATGATAAGACACACCCAAAATGAAGGGAAGAGACTCTTGAGATAAGGCTTGCATGTTGTAATTATGTATATACCTGTAACATCCCATTTAAAGTATATGAAGTATCTTTTAGTTCTTGGCTATCTGAATTTTAATCCAATACAAGCCTGCTTCTCTCAAATTACAGAAATGCCAGTTGATACTTTGCATACAGAACTTTTGTAAATTGCCCAGGCACATAAGCTTGTATGGTTTCTTTGGTTTATTCTGTTGAACAATAAAAATGTTCTCTGCAAAGCATTTGTGTGGGAAAATGGCCCGTATGTAGCATTTAGCTAATGAGAACACTTTAAGAATCTGCTGAACTGCTTTTTCAAGGCAGGTATTTTTTTAAATGTTTAGTATGAATCGTAGCTCAGAATTGGATTCCACTATAAAACAAAGTCTTGAAAGTAAATGCATCTTGTTTCAGTGGGACTGATTTCAGAGTAAGACTTGGAAGCACAACAGCAGGTTTGCAGTCCTCATGAGAATGAGTTTTGGGTTTGACCACTTAAGTGTAAATGAAATGCTGGTTTTGCCTTTGCCACAGTTTCTGTGGCATCAGAATCTGGCTTTTCTTGTATGTCTTACCCTTTCATGGTGGTGTTAGCGCCACAAAATGGGGGGGATCTTTGCACAAGTGTCATCTTTATCAGCAGGAACTTACAAATTAATACTTGATTAAGATTCCATGATTCCTGGTGTTCTGAATGGTGTATAATAGCTATAAAACAAAATAACTAAAGCATGTTTTATAAAAACCTGGATGTGAATTACAGCATGTAAATCAAACATTTTGAAAAGCAAGCTATTTGCAACACAGTTTTTCCTTAATTTCAGCTATGAATGATGGGTTAAAGCCCAAAAGCACTTAGAGAACATACTTAGGACAGCTTTTAAGCTGGTAGAGAAGTAGTTTTACCTGTACTCCTGAGGATGAGCAGGCAGTATTGAGGAGCTGGCTGTCCTGCAGGGAAAGAGCCCAGTAGAGCTGGCACTAGTATTCAAATTCTGATTTTCCTTGGATCTCTAGGGCAATGGAGTTCTGCGATAGTTATGCATAGCTTTGCTGGTCAATTGAGTATAAATTATACGAGAAGAGGTTATTTCAGTTTTAAAATGCAACAGAACAGGAAAAGCAGACTGATAACCTAAAACTGGAGATATTAAGGGTCAAAGTCACTACACCTTGATTAGTACTTGGAGCATAATAGCATATTGTCCCACATGGTGCATTCTGTTCCTTGGACTTACAAAGTGAGCTATCATTATCCAAAAACTATCCAGCTGCCAAAAACAGTTGCTTCCTACTTTATGCAGCACTGCAGTTACCCAAACATTGGGGGCTCTGCACTGGACAAGGTTAATTAAAAATGCATTCCATCTTCCATAGGTGTTATCTGCTATAGATATGCAGACGTTAAAAATACCAATGGGTGCTCTCTCACTTGCTCTATCTGCTACGTTTGCACAATTACTGTTGTGGAGGGAATGGGGCTATTTCCATACTTATTAAGAAAACCCAACTTCCATGCCAATGTTTTTTCTAAACCATTCCACTGCTATCGTTTAATATCACTTATACCCTAAACTTATTTTATACTATTATTACTAAATCTGGACAGTTTTGAAGAACTTTATTACAACTCTGTTGCCAGATTTACCCCGTCCCAGTTAAGCCTCACCAACACTATAACTGAGGACTTGTGTTAAAATCCGTTTCAACCCCTACTGACCTATTGAAGCACAGGTCTGCTTCTCCTATACTATCTTGAAATCTTGTTCTGGCTCTCTTACTACACACCAGAGCCTTGTCCGGTAAACAGCCTCAGAAAACCAGTATGTTTGACTCTTAATTAGGGCATGAAGGGGTTAAAACCATAGAGCAAGTTGCCCTGTGAGGCTTAGCCTATGTCACTTCCCCTCACCTTGGGAGGAAATAGGCAATCAAGCCTTTTTTAAATCCCACTCCACATGTGGGGAGGTCTGAGGCAGCCAGCCTTATGATTTTTCAACCAGCTTCTTTTGTTTCAGACAAGAATGGAGCTTGAAACTAGTATTTTTTCTATACCAATAGTTTAGAAACTTGCCTTTTGTAACTAAGCAACATTTTACTGCTGCATGGAAAAACACATGGAGCTGACCTTGGAAGAGTTTTGTAAGTAAACCATTTTATGACTTATCAAGTGGGTGGTCTACCTCTGTACCAGGGCACATTTTAAAGGTTTTGCAGCCTATATTTCCACACTTTGTTCTTTGCCTCATGTTTTGCAAAGTTAAATATCTGTTCTGGTTTTCTCACCAAAGAGTTATTGCCCCAAACTTGGCTTTCAGGATCCCAACAAGCCTAGCCTTCCAAACTGAGACTCCCTCTCTTCTCCCTCAGTGTTGGAGGCTGGTTCTCCCATTATTTCTGAGCCAAGCGATTTGTCTACCTTTGCAAGTCTTTGGCCACCAAGCCACTCTTGCTCCCTTTCAGGGCTGCTTCCTCATTCCCCTTCCTCTGCTGCCGTCTACTTTTGGCTGCCCACCACAAACATCAAGCACCTACCAACACAGACTGACCCCGGACTGAGTTGCTCCCAGGCTTTTATTACCTTCTTCTGGTTCTCATTGTCTACCCTCAGCCAATCACGCTGTCGAACTGAAAATTCTAAACCTGCCGCTAACCAACCAGAATGTGCCTTGCTTTCTGTCCTTTTGCATACGGAGTGTTCTATCTCCAACGCCGCCTCAGTTGTCAGTTGAGCTTCCTCAGCGGCAGTTAAACCGAATTTTACTCGGTTTCCCCCATCAAACACATGACAATACAAATGACAGAATACGTGGCAATGCCCATTAACCGTTTCAGCTAAACAGGGTTTCTTCACAAATACCACTATGTATGAAAACTGGGATGGACCGTAGTTAGCTCAATGGGGATAAAGAAAAGCGAGTGAGGCAAACAAATGAATAAATAAAATAAACAAGGGCCTGAGGGAATGGGGTGCAGGTGGAGACAGAGGAGGCTAGGAAAGGTGGGAAGATGGAGGGAGGAGGACGTAGGAAAGGAAGGGGAAGATGGGGCAGTGGAAAGGGGATAGAGGAAGGTTTCTGTGAACCGTCCTGAGAGCTCTGGGTATAGGGCGGTATATAAATTCAATAAATAATAATAATAAAGTAGGTGCCTGAGAGGAAGGGTGCAATAAAGCCAGTGGAGGAGAGATGGAGGAAGCATACTAAGGGGGAAAAATTGAGGAAGGATACTGGAGTGCTAAAGGGGGGGGGGGAGTGGAGCAATTGTTATCCTCAGCAATTGTTATATTGTTGCATCAGCTGTTTTGTAATATTTGTATTTATAACTTTTTCTTTTTGCCAAACCTGTCCTAGGAATGGTAATTGGCCATTTAAGGACTGGGTATACATTTCAGAAACAAAACCATAAATAATTATCAGGCTCCAACATTAAATCCTTCATTTCATCTGTGTTGGTTTTATTACATGGCCAGAAACTTTAGATACGCTCAAAAGTTACATCTGGGCCTGAGGGTGAACACCAGGAAGAGTAGACTTAACATACAAAATCGGTCTTAGGGCAGGAAAATATTGAGAACCCTTGAATTTAAAATAAAAAAACTTTATTTTATGCAGTTTTGACGTCATTTGCCAGTAGGTGGCAGCAGTGCTACATGCAGTACTTATTTCTGTCTGCTCCTTGCTTAGCTATGGGCTACATTTTTGGAATCACAAACATGTTTTCCCACGGTTCATATCTTCAGCCAGATAAGCTCACCAATGATGGGAGATGAGAAGGCAAGAGCTTTAACACAGCTGAAGAAGTTCAATTTTGGGTGATTCCAGATGGGTGTTTTTATCATAGAATCATAGAATTGTAGGGTTGGATGGGACACTATGGGATGCGAGTGGTGCTGTGGTCTAAACTACTGAGCCTCTTGGGTTTGCCGATCAGAAGGTCGGCGGTTTGAATCCTTGCGATGGGGTGGGCTCCCGTTGCTCTGTTCCAGCTCCTGCCAACCTAGCAATTCGAAAGCACGTCAAAGTGCAAGTAGATAAATAGGTACCGCTCCGGCGGGAAGGTAAATGGTGTTTCCATGTGCTCTGGCTTCCGTCATGGTGTCCTGTTGCACCAGAAGTGGTTTAGTCATGCTGCCCCCATGACCCGGAAACCTGTCTGTGGACAAACGCTGGCTCTCTCGGCCTGAAAAGTGAGATGAGCATTGCAACCCCATAGTTGCTTTTGACTGGACTTAACTGTCCAGGGGTCCTTTATCTTTTACCTGTGGGTCCTCTAATCCAACTCCCTGCAAAGTCAGATGGCTTTATCTTACACATACAATTTTTTTTGGCAGCATCTACATGACACTGTTGTCATTATGGTAATTGGCCATAATTGTATTTTCTCCCATTTGATCCTTTCAGGATGTAAATCAATAATGATGCCTCCAGACAACCTGTTTATTGAGCATTTATTCTGATTGGTTTGTAGGGAGATAAACTGACATTTCATTTCACTTTTAATTTGTATACCGCTTTTCTACATTACTATATGCAAGGTGGTTTATAAGCTGAAGAAACAAGACAGCAAAGTTAACACACGTAATTACAAAAAAGTCACAATAGCCGCCCCCTACAAAAACACATTTTAAAAGGGCATAGTTTTAAATTTATATCAAATAAATCAATATTCAATAATCCATTAAAATATAATAGTAAAAAGTAAACTTAAATATCTGCAAATTATTAAACAGTTTACACTTATCAATGATAATAAAGAATTAGTAAACTATAATCAATAAAAATAACAGCAAGTCACAGCGCATAAAATAACACAAAAAATTCAAAACCATGTAAATGGATCAAACTGAGAAACAAGGGCACACAACTTACAAAATTATTATTATTATTTATGTCCCTGTACTCCTCTCTTCCCAGCTGTTTCTGCTGTTCTCAAAGTAATGGCATGAGAAAGGTTCCTAGGCCTGGAGGGTGGGGCAAGGCAGGTGGAAAAAGCCATTGCCTGATGAGCAGCAGAAAGTCTCTCCTCTCACAGTTCTTCCTCTGGAGCAGCTCCTTCAGGGCTGGAGGGCAAATGTTATCCTACACTTTCCAGTGATTTTGAGGGGATGGAGCTACAAAGGAGGAGGAGGAGGAGGAGGAGGAGGAAGTAAAGTCTGTTGTGTAAGTGGGATGGCAACATTGGCTCTATGTTGGAAGTTTCATTGTGAGGTATTATCAGTATGCTAATGACACCTGCTTCTTTCTCTCTTTTTCATTAAATACAGATGAAGCTGTGGAAATTCTGAATTGTCTGTGATCAGCATGGAGACCAGAAAACAGAAGCTCAATCCAGACCAGGTAAGGTAGAGGTTCTGTGGGTTGGTGGTTCATCTAGTATTCAACCTGTTTTTCGATGACTTTGCACACCGCCTGTTACCTTCAGCCTTATCTACAGAAACTAGTGGGTTTTTCTGCAGCATAAAATATCTTTCAGAGGTCTGCATAGAACAGGTCCTTTTAGATAGAGATAGCCTAGTCCCAGTTATCTATGCCGTGGTAAATCTTGTTCAGATTATTACAATGTGTTGCACTTGGGACAATGTGCTGTACTTAGGACTATTGCTAAGGACCCTTTATTAACTACAATTTGTGCAAAACACAGTAGCAAGTGTACAGGGCATATCTCACCTGTTCTCAGGTCAGGGAGCTGCACACTGGTTTCTGGTCCACTATTCAATAAGCAAAGTAACCGTATACAAAAAACTGTTGCCAGGTTAGTCCCAGAAAACTGCGAAGAGATAAAATAGCTAAGGTGACACCTTTCAAGGGACCAATTTTCTGCATCTGTAATGGCATATAAATTGAACTAGCGTTACATCAATAAAAGCTGACCCACTGAAAGAGATGTGTGATATTATCTGAATTTCTAGCTTGGCTCATCACCTCTACAAACCAGAATGGGAAAATACTCTGATTCCAAACAAATAAAATGAACAGAAGCCTAGGAAACTATCTAGTTCAGTATTGTCTGAACTGAATAGCAGTAGCTTTCCTTTATTTTAGGCAAAAGCCTTTCCCAGCCCACCTTGGGATTGAACCTGTGATCTCTGGAATATAAAGCACCCTACCAGTGAACTATAGCTGCTCCCTAAACCACTGTGAGAAACAAGACTGTAAAATGCTACTTTTCAGATGGCCTTTGAGACCTAAACCAAACGCAAAACAAGACTGTCTTACAAAATGTCCCTTACACTTCAGCATGTCAGAATGCAGGGGGTAGATTTCAGAGGACCGCTTGAACTCTCGTAACTCAGAGCTGCGTAGAGGGAGAAAGAATAAAATGTATTGGCTTTCATCCTTAGGGCACCAGCATGCTTGTTCATAGCAGCCGTGTGTCCGTGTGTGTCGGACTTTTAGAAAACAATGCAAGATTATCCAAATCCCCAGATAATCTGTAGAATGAATGTGGAGTCCACAGTAGGATTTCTAGATGCACAGCTGAATCCTAATATTAAAGCAGAAATCCTTTCAGTCCTGGGTAAGAGCACCATCTCCTACTAGAGTTCATTGGAAGCTGCTGTTTCAAATGGAAGGTCCAGTTCACTGAATGTGATGTAGTAAACCAGGGGCAGCCAATGTGGTGCCCTTCAGATGCTGCTCACATCAGTCCCAGTCCAATGATGAGGTGAGTTGTAGTCAGAGCTGTAGGAAGGTCAGGTGGTACCCGGTGCAGAAAATTTATTGTCACCCCCCCACATTGATTTTTTTTTTTTTGGCCTACAAAAATGGTTTTACGTTATTTCATATGTTCTTACAAAGGAATGTGGATTCTGGGCCTCTGATAATAAGTAGGCGACTATGGACAGATACAGTAGTGCCCCGCAAGACGAACGCCTCGCAAGACAAAAAACTCGCTAGACGAAAGGTTTTTTCGTCCGCGATTTGCCTCGCAAGACGAATTCCCCTATGGGCTTGCTTCGCAAAACGAAGCTTGCCCCGGGGACAGCGGGTCTTCTCTTTTGAAGCAAGGGGCTGCGGGGAGATAGCGATCTCCCTGCAGCCCCTTGCTGCAAAAGACGTCGGGGGAAGCGGGGAAGCGAAGCGCTTCGCTTCCCCGCTTCCCCCGGACCTCTTCTGAAGCAAGGGGCTGGGGGGAGATAGCGATCTCCCTGCAGCCCCTTGCTGCAAAAGACGTCGGGGGAAGCGGGGAAGCGAAGCGCTTCGCTTCCCCGCTTCCCCCGGACCTCTTCTGAAGCAAGGGGCTGGGGGGAGATAGCGATCTCCCCCCAGCCCCTTGCTTCAGAAGAGGTCCGGGGGAAGCGGGAAGCGAAGCGCTTTGCTTCCCCGCTTCCCCCTGACGTCTTTTGCAGCTGTTCCGAAGTGGGGCGGGGGGGCGGGGTCACCTGCCCCAGCCGCCCCACTTCGGAAAGCTGTTCCAAAGCGGGGAGGGGGGGCGGGGACATCTGCCCCAGCCGCCCCACTTCGGAAAGCTGTTCCAGGAACAGCTCCATAGGAACCTCCATAGGCGCCCGTCACCTCTCCAGCCAGGAGAGCGCGCGCGGGGCTAAACCAGCCCCCGCGACCCTCTCCCAGCTGGAGAAGTGACGCGCGCCTATGGCAGGAGCCTCCATAGGCGCCCGTCACCTCTCCAGCCAGGAGAGCGCGCGCGGGGGCTAAACCAGCCCCCCGCGACCCTCTCCCAGCTGGAGAAGTGACGCGCGCCTATGGCAGGAGCCTCCATAGGCGCCCGTCACCTCTCCAGCCGGGAGAGCGCGCGCGGGGCTAAACCAGCCCCCCGCGACCCTCTCCCAGCTGGAGAAGTGACGCGCGCCTATGGCAGGAGCCTCCATAGGCGCCCGTCACCTCTCCAGCCAGGAGAGCGCGCGCGGGGCTAAACCAGCCCCCCGCGACCCTCTCCCAGCTGGAGTTGTGACGCGCGCATATGGCAGGAACCTCCATAGGCGCCCGTCACCTCTCCAGCCGGGAGAGCGCGCGCGGGGGCTAAAGAAACCATAGCCCCGCGACCCTCTCCCAGCTGGAGAAGTGACGCGTGACTATGGCAGCAGCCTCTGAAGGATGCACCGAAGCCTGGCGTGGGGGGGGGCGGAGAGACCTTCTCCCCGCGCCAGCCTTCGGATGGCTGTCCTGAAGACTTGGGGTGGGAGAAGGGTTTTCCTTCCCACCGCCAACATTCAGAATGCTGTTCTGAATGTTGGCGGTGGGGAGGAAAAACCCTCCTCCCACGCAAGCCCCGGGAACAGAGGGAAAGCGCTGCGCGCCTTCCCCTCTGTTCCCGTACCTGTGCTGAAGGCTTGCGGTGGGGAGAAAAGCCCTTCTCCGCACCGCCAGCCTGGCAAGCGGTTTCCCTAGGAACGCATTAATTGATTTTCAATGCATTCCTATGGGAAACCGTGCTTCGCAAGACGAAAAATTCGCTAGACGACAAAAATTGCGGAACGAATTAATTTCGTCTTGCGGGGCACCACTGTACTTAAATTTACAGGATGGATTGTGTTTTGGCTTGTGTTATTTTATTTACATTTATTGTTTATTTAATAAAATTTATTTTTTAAAAAACCTGCAAAGTGGTTTACCAAACCCCCCCCCAAAAAACCACAGCAGTAAAATCAAGAAAAATCAACTGCGTGCAGGGGGGGGGGCAAAGGCAAGGCAAGGCCTAATCTTCACATAGGCCGACTTTCCAGGACCCGGGAAGCCCATTGGAGGGTAGGGCAGTAGGGTGATTCATAAAAACTTTTTTTAAAAAAGATGCCTGCTCCGAAGGTCTTATCTTACTAAACTAGGGATTATATAGCTATATCTGAAATTTCATGCATATCAGTTAACATCTTGACCCTGCTCCACTGAATTGAAATTTCAGCCTTCACGACATAGGAAAACGGCCAAGTAAACAGCTATTTTCGTGGAGGAGGGTCAAGATATTAACTGATATGCATGAAATTTCAGATATAGCTATATAATCCCTAGTGTAGTAAGATAAGACCTTCGGAGCAGGCATTTTCAAAAGAAAGTTTTTTATGAACTGCCCTAGTAGGGCAGTAATTGTTCCTTGATAATTTGTCACCCCCCCTCCATGATGGCACCTGGGGCAGCCCACCCACCCCCTTTCCTACGCCTCTGGTTGTAGTTCAGCAACATCTGGAAGGCACCATGTCAGCCAACCCTGTAGTAAACAGTAGCATAAAGTGCATACATGGGAGATGACAATTAGGCTCTAAATCTTTTAAGATTGCAGCCTAAACCTAAGGCATTGAAAGTATGTTCATTAAACATTTCAAGTGATTCATATGTTGTTTGCCAACTGCTTGTCTGGAGACTGTTCCATCCATCTGTAAAGGTATTTCTGTGAGAAAGAAAGAAAATTGCATTAATGCAGAAACACATGGGATGCAACGATCCCATTAATATGCAATGTATATACCATCCTGTGTTTGGTAAAGGTGAAAGCTGTTTGCTGGGGGTTTTTTTTAGGGGGGTGGTTGCATATAAAAAATGCAGAAGGTGTGCTCCATTGTTCCACAGTCTCACACGGAAGCCTTAGCTTTGTCCTAAGCAAAATACAGTGGTGCCTTGCAAGACGAAATTAATTCGTTCCGCAAGTTTTTTCTTCTTGCGAGTTTTTCGTCTTGCGAAGCACGGTTTCCCATAGGAATGCATTGAAAATCAATTAATGCGTTCCTATGGACACCGCTTGCCAGGCTGGCGGTGCGGAGAAGGGCTTTTCTCCCCACCGCAAGCCTTCAGGACAGGTACGGGAACAGAGGGGAAGGCGCGCAGCGCTTCTCCTCTGTTCCCGGGGCTTCCGGTGGGAGGAGGGTTTTTCCTCCCCACCGCCAACATTCAGAACAGCATTCTGAATGTTGGCGGTGGGAAGGAGAACCCTCCTCCCATCGCAAGTCTTCAGGACAGCCATCCGAAGGCTGGCGCGGGGAGAAGGTCTCTCCGCCCCACCGCCAGCCTTCGGAGGAGCCATCCGAAGGCTGGCGGTGGGAGGAGGTCTCTCCGCCCCGCCGCCAGCCTTCGGAGCAGCCATCCAAAGGCTGGCGGTGGGAGGAGGTCTCTCCGCCCCGCCGCCAGCCTTCGGAGCAGCCATCCGAAGGCTGGCGGCGGGAGGAGGTCTCTCCACCCCGCCGCCAGCCTTCAGAGCAGCCATCCGAAGGCTGGCGGCGGGAGGAGGTCTCTCCGCCCCGCCGCCAGCCTTCGGAGGAGGTCCGAGGACAGTGGGGAAGACGCGCTGCGCTTCCCCGCTGTCCCGGAGATTTCCCTATGGGCTTTCGTCTTGCGAAGGAAGCCCATAGGGAAATTCGTTTTGCGAAGCGCCTCCAAAACGGAAAACC